CGTGCTAAAGTTCTGAAATACTTTAGAGGGGAATTTAACATTTTACCGGCATTTGTACGATAAATTGTAGAAATTTTTTGCAAATTTAACCGAAAGTGCATCTCGTATTTGAGATATCTTTTAACTATTTTTTAAATTGATGTAAAATTTTTGAAACCACTTCAAGGTTTAGTTTTAACCAACTTCAAAAAATGAAAAGGTTATTAATTCGTTGGATTTTTTTTTTGTATTTTACCGCATAACCTTGATCCGCGTTAACCGATTTCTTTAATTATTTTTTTTAATGGAAAGGTGTTACCTCAGAGATGGTCCCATAAAAATTTGGTTTAGATTTTATTATTGGATCATTAAGAAATCAACGATAATCTTAAATATTTATATTAGAATTGAAGTCGGTTTTGCTTTTGCTTAAAAATTACTTATTTTGTTTAATCTCAGATAAACGAGAATCATCATAAAAAATAAAAATAATATATTTTTAAATTACACATAAAAAAATAAGATAAATAAAAATGTATATTAAAACTACAAGAAAAAAGATTAAAGATATAATATACAATATATTTCCATTTGCTAATTTACGTCAACTACCCCAAGCAAATTTTGATTTCAGTGACGAATAAATTTTAATAGGTATCACAATTTTCATTATATTGCAACCACATATGTAGCTAAGAACAGAAATTCAATTTTAGCTGAAAATTAAATTTTTTGACTGTAGAAGCAAAGCCGGGTATGTAATAAAAATGCCACTCCTTTCCCTGACTTTGTACGATATATCGTACAAATTTCAATTGAACGTGGACCACGCTAGACATTTTTTCTTAATTTTATTACTATTTTAGACAAAATAGTCGTGAAAAATATAGTTTTTATTTTATCGGGTGACTAGTGTGGAAAATGGTAACAATGGGCTAAGGAAAATTCCCTATTCAACTAAAATTCCTAATCAACTGGCGTTTGTTAATTTTCTTGGGAGCAATTTTCATCCTTCTTATGAGCAATGCGCTTATTAACTGACTTCAAAACAAGTAATTTTAAGCATAAAAACCTTCACTTCTCAAATAAAAATTTAAGAGTATCGTTAATTTCCTCATGATCCAATTACCTTTCCTTTAAAAAAAATTCTAGAAATCGGCTAAAGTGGTCAAAAGTTATGCGGTAACATACATAAAAGAATAAGTAAAAATAAAAAATAATATATTCCTTCTCCTTTTGTTGAAGTCGGTTAAATAAGAGAAGGTTAATTCGTCGGGATATATATATTTTTTATGTATGATACCGCATAACTTTGGACCACGTCGACCGATTTCTATGATTATTTTTTAAAGGTTTTACCTCAGAGGTGGTCCCATTCTAATTTGGTTCAGATTCGATCATTGGATCATTAAGAAATTAACGGTACTCTTAAATTTGTATATGAAAATTTAAGTCTGTTTTGTTTTTTGGTTAAAAAGTTACTTGTTTTAGTATACGGGAATTCCCATGGTGGCGCACGTGACAGTCGTACGATTTCAATGTGATACAAAAAAGGAATACCATTTGTTTTCCTTAACTTTTTTGGGCCATTGTATAGCACATAATTAGCTCTATATTTAACCGAAAAATGAAATCAATCGAACTGCTTGGTCCTGAAATGTAAGCATTTAAAGCGAGTGTCGTTACGTGACAAAAAATGGAAGTTGATTTTTTCTTTTCTTACAAAATCGCAAAACTCTGCGAAATGTGGATGGCTATTTTCATGAAACTTATTTTAATATGATTTGGAGCAATTCTAGTTGTTTTTAGGGTTTTTTGAATTAATGCAAATTGTTTCAATTCTCTTTTACAACCCCAAGTGTGAAACGTGACGTGACGTGGCGTCACGTGACATAAATTTCTATCGTTATATTCTTGTTAATATTGCTTTTAAATGAATTTTCAACGCAAATAAAATATATATTTTATGTAGAATATACATTATGTTTTGACTTCAGCGCCAATTCAGGGTCAATTTATTAGAAATCTATGATTTATTATGTTTCAACCACATACGCCAAATTCGAACCAAATCGGACCATAAATACGGTTTCTCGAAATATCTCGACCTTGGCACCACCTATGAAGACCATTTTATGCAAACATGATTCTACTTACATAGCCAGTATATATTTATTAAAAAGCAGACAAATCGGCCCGTAAATACGTTAGATATAAAACTTTTATTTTTTTTTGTCGTGGTGGACCTTCCGCTGGAAACACCCATATAGTATTAGTATAGTAAACGTATCTAATTCTTAGTATTTGCAACAATTTTTGTTTTTTTTCGCTTTCGTTTGAATTTTCACAGTTTAAACTACGTTTAAGTTTGACTAAAAAGTGCCAACTTAATTTAGACTTATTTTAACCGACAAAGAGAGTTAAACTCAAACTGAAAAACTGGCCATTACTGTTATATTATATATGAGTATATATGTATGTGTTTAAATTAAAATGTCCCTGCAGGAGGACTATTATTTGACCAAAAAATTACATCCACATCGACGTCGACAACCATAATAGGGCCGATTGTTTTCTTTTTGTTATTTTGTGGCCAAAAGTAGTTAGTTACAAGTAAGTTGACATCTGACCTTAGTTTGATAACCTCCATACGTCTGCGAAATGTAAGCCTTTTATACTTTTCTCTCTCTCTCCCGCGAAATGAAGAGGGTGGTATACATAAATATTTAAAAACTCCAAATATGTGTCTATGTGGAAAATAATTTTCATAAAATCTGTATTACCATAAAACTAAGTCAAGCACTATCGAAATTTTGAAAAAAATGTCGCTTACGTTATTTTGGCGGTTTGGGCTCGATATGTATTACAGACGCATGGTTACCTACTCAGCAACTTTCAGCGGAGATATCTAAGTAGAGCTATTGCCGAGACAACGACCCTTGACACTTTCCCGGCCATCGCATCGCCGTGGAAATATAGTTAGCCTTCTTCGAAGAAAATATACAGATAATAGTGACCTTTAGCTTCTTCCTAATCAACTTCAACTTAACTTATAGTTAGATATATTTCCCGCAGGGTAGATGTGCATATGTTTAAATCGAACATGTGTTGAATCGAACATGTGTACAGTCGCACCCGATAAATTGGTAATTCACAAGCATTCAATTCCTAATCAATACAAAGCACAGTTTTAGGCGTATCAAAAACCAAATTATATTTACTACCTCTTACATATCTGTGTTGGTATGGAATAGTAGCTTAAGCCGAAAGGCTGGCTTTAGTATAAGGCAGCATTCGCAGCATACGATTTCGAATCACTCACTGGCGCCGAGCTGTTGAAGAACTTTTGGCAAATAAAAGTGCAAGAAATTGTTCCGATACTAGCAAGTCAATATTTTTATAAGGTCTCATCTAAAAATTCCTTGTCGTTTAAAGGATAAGGGGAATGCCGCATTATACTACAGCCTGCTTCCCAACATAAGCTACTATTCCATAATAATAATCGATGTGCGCTTACAGAATATGTTAGTGTTTGGCCGAGCTTCTCCTCCGATTTGTGGCGTGCGCCTTGATGTTACCACACAAAGGGGAGGGACCTACAATTTTACGCCGACTCTGAACGGTGATTGTATTTTGATGAGAAGTTGCTTTTAATGGCCGAAATACACTCAGAGGTTTGCCCTAGCCTGTCAATGGGCGACCGCCATTAGGAATTTTTTTTTTTGTTTTTTTTTTTTTGTAGTCGGAAACTGAGCTCGAACCCGGGCACTGCGGAATGGTAGCGCGAACTGCTAACCACGACACCACACCAGTCGCATACGTATGTACATATGTATTAATGTGAAATCCGACCGTCCGGTGGCGCCAAGACCATAAATATGAAATACAATACTAACAACTTTCCGCAATATGCAAATGAATCCATTATCTTAGATGGCCATCATAGTACGCTAGTAGCTGGAAAGTCTTCTCAGAAGAAGATAAATATTATTCAGGTATACATGCAATGCATATGTGAGTATGGCTGTTCATTTGAAAATGCTAGAAAAGATGTGGTTTGTTAAAAGTTATAGCTTTCCTTCATTCCTAATATACATACACATTTTATATTTCATTTTATTTTCAGGCAGTAGTAGGGTCCATTAAACAGCTAGCAGCAGCAGCGTTGCAATTTTGATTTTTTTTCACTTGAAATGGTCCCTGAGTTGTCATTTTGTGTTTACATTTTACATTCTACAATGTCAAATTTTGATTGCCTTTTTGACATTTTAGATTACAAAGTCATCAACAAACAACTATATATGCAGCTTGTTATATTTTCTCTAATGCTGCTACCTAT